AGATGGTGCTGCACGGTTAGAACATGGTTAGAACTTAGTGACCTAGATGTAAAATCCTTGGACTTTTAAGAATTTGTACAAATGACTACTTTATAAATAAATGAGCATTTCAATCAATTCTCTGCATCTGCACACTTGTAAGAAAATATGGTTGTCTGCAATTAAATATAAGCACTAGAGCCATTCACTGGGTCTGAATGTAATTTTTCCAAAGTGTACTCAGGCTATAGGATACATAGGATCTCTAGGACGGTCTAAAGATAAGCTGTAGTAGCACTGATTATGTAGCTTTCATTTCAGAAGACTACTGGCAGTGCTATACAAAATCAGGTTTGTCTAAGCAGAATGCTGGTCTCAACTCATTAATGTCCCATTTCCTTTAAGGCACAGGGTACAAAGAAAGAAAAGTCAAACAAACAAATGGCACGTGCTTACGTAACTTAATTATTTTATCATAACACAGAGCTCAAGGCACCTTATTCTAATGCCTTACTCACAAAGCTGGTGTCAGGATTGCTCACAAGACTATAATAATAATTATCACTATTATTATTATTATTATTATTATTATTATTATTATTATTCTGCAACTAGATGAAAGGGATGAACACAGCTTGTAAGGGAGCTGCGAGGCAGGCGGACAAGTGTTTTCATATTACTAAACCCATGAGAGTAGTTATTTCATTATTTTTTTCAGCTAGGTAACACCTGCTCACATGTCAGTTGCCACACCCCTCCCATTTAGCAACCCATAAAGAGAGACAGACAAAAATACAACTGGGAACCTCAACTAGTTCTGTCCTGTTTACTCTCAATATACAGCTCACTGAAAATACAGTACAGCATTCAACAAACAACTTACTCTTCCAGCTTCATCCAGGGCAAGAATGCAAATCTTTTGACCCCCGTTTTCTTTAAGGTGTTGAGGATCCACCTTGTATTCCAAAAATCCCCCGTTAACAAGAACCTTTCTGAGGTTCAGCTGCCTGAATACAAAAATGAAAATATAAATTAATATATATTTTAGGGGAAATATTAAGGTGTACAATAGTTGACACTATATTTGGAGAACCACTAAAAATTGTAGTTAGAATAAATCACAAGTAATATGTTGCGAAGAATGGAGGGGACAAGTGAGACCCAGGAGAATAAAGGTCATGCCACCAGAGCCCTGAAATGGAATTACATCTCTCATGTTAAAAATGAAAGTTATTTCTGCTTCCAGAAAAAAACAACTCATATTAGAATATGAAATGTAGTCATTGATTTATCTTTCCATTTTGCTGCATTTTTTCAGCACTATCTAATCCAAGAAACTTCACCCAGATGAAGAGAAGGAAGTTCCCACAGCAGGTAGAAGGGGATGTCCAAGATAATCAGATGGCTCTGTACAGCACATGATGATTTCATAACATTTCTGTTCTAACTGAGCAAAAACCTAACTTGCATTTCATATAGTTCTCAGAAACTCTGCCCATCCCCAAAAAGATTTGCATGCCACATTTGGAAACCTGAATTCAATGTCCAAGAAATCATGTGGTTACTGACCATAAAGTAACAAGTTAGGTTCTCATATGTTAGAATAAACTTTTGAAAACAACAGGATGCACATATCAAACTTTACATAATAGAAATCCACTGTTGTCTTCCTCTACCTTCAAAATCATGTCCACCACACTAAACTAAAAACAAAGTCTGCACTTCATCCTTACTGGATATCCTTCAAAAATTTCAGCACAAAAATCCATGGTTTTTTTGTTTTTTTTTTTTTTTAAGAAACTGGATTTTATTTAAACTAGATATTTCCTTTTAATACACTTCTCCAACAGCCTTTATAAAATAAATTATGACAATTTATGTTAAGGTCAAAGACTGACACACACCTGAAGACATTTAAATGTGCAAGGCCTTCCAATACAGTTTGTTAAAGGAAAAGACACAGTAATATGTCAACTTTTGAACTTCCCAGGCCAGGGGAAAAGAGGGAGAACCACACCTACTTGGAAGCCATCTTCTTGCATTGATAATCTGTAAGCAAGTAAATATCTCCTCTTTCAGTAACACATACTGTAGCACCATCACTTGCAGTGACCAAGGACACAGCAATGTCCTTATGATGCAGAGCAGAGACTTGACGAGGTGCAGTTACACATTTCTCTCCATTAGGATCCAGCAAATATCCTACAAAATACATTTACCCACAAATCTTACTTTAGAAAGCATAATTATTAACTTAAAAACAATATCTTCTTCATTCCTTTAAAGATTCCCAACACCAATTAAATTTTAAAACCTTTCCTAAGAAAATAACAACCTACTTCCCCCAAATAATTAAGCAAATATAAAATGTTAGTTATAATGAAGTTGCTATTTTTTTTCACCCAACACAAATGTCATTAAACATGGATTTCTGGTTAAATGTACCAGAGGAAGAATAATTCAGTAGAGATAGCCATTACAATGGCACAACAGAAGCTGCATTTGTTTTGCAGCACTTTGAACTGAAAGTAAATTGGTAAGGTAGACAACACAGCATATGTACTCCGCTGTATTAAGTCAAGATACGATCTGCAACACTACAGCTACTATCACAACACAAGTGCAGGTATTAGCTAATCTGTGGAGCATCTGCTCATAATCACTGTTCCTAATTTGTTCAGAGCTCGAGCAGGGTGTCAGCCTATCCAAAATGGCTCCTGTAGGTCAAGGCAGAAGGCCCCTAGCAGACATTACACTTAAAACATGATTAACAAGTTATTCATATCATAAATAGTAACCTGGATTCACATGAATTCAATTAATGACACAATAAAACAGGGAAAAAAGACACAATTATTATACAAAAAAAATGCATAACAACTTTGTGGCCGGTTCTCATAGCACCATAAACTGACCATGCGGCCAGCACCAGAGCCCACAAGGTACTGACAAATGCACCCAAACATGACAGCATCACCTGCCACTATCACGATCCCCAATTTCACAGTCACACTCCCTCCGTGCACATGGGAGACAACTGTGGGGATCACAGGTCAGATCTATCATGCCTTAACTGGAATGTATATCAGCAGCTGATGTCAGATGCCCTTTCCTGGTCCAAACAACTTTTAAAAAATTGTTTTAAGACTTTAAGATAAGCCTTTAGGAGGAATACTAATTTCTTTAAAAAAAATTAGTACTAAATACATCTGTATTTCCTTGCTACATCAGCACCTCCCAGGATATCTCACCAAGCAAAAACAATCACAGCTGAAGTGTTGCTTTAAGACAGGTGTAGACAACTATTTTGACTGGAGGGCCACTTAACCATTTTGGTGTCCTCAAAGGCCATATGAGAGTTTTGGTGTCTCAGAGCAGTAGTTCTGAACTTTTTGTACCAGGACCCATTTGTAAACATCAATGGCCAGTCTTGACCCACTCCCCCTCACTCCCAAGCCACTGCCCCCAGGTCCCCGTCCCCCAATGTGCAGGGCAGGGCATAGGTGCATGTGGTAATGGGGGACATGGGAGGCCCCAAGCAGCCTGCAAGGGAAAAGCCATGGTTTCCCACGTTTTGTTCTTTAAAGAAGAATCCATTTTTAAAGTTTCTCCATGACCTTTCCGTATATTCTGTCTCTCCCCTTCTCCTCCTCCCTGCAGCTGTAGCACACCTCAATCCTCATCTTCTCTCTCTTTTCCCCCCACCCCCTACCCACCCAGAGCTGCAGCACATGCCAAATCTCATCTCCAACCCAGAACCTGCCAGCCCTGTCTGCAGCTAATGCCACCACCTGCCCACACAGCAGAAGCAGCCCAGGCAGGCACTGGTGTCAGCTGTGGACATGGCCAACAGATTCTGAGTGGGGACTAGGGCATCTGCCCGGGTCCACAGCTGACACCACCGCATCAGCACTGGACAGAAGTAGTCTCATCCACCCATCCAGCACAACAGAAACAGCCCCACCTGCCTGCCTGCCTGCCACCACGTGACTGCTGGAGCTGGAGCCACGAGGGGCCTGTGGACCAGATCCCATGAGTTGGTGGCCACTAGCCTACAGGCTGGATACAAATCAGTGGGCAGGCTGGATCTGGCCTGCAGGCTGAAGTTTGCCCACTTCTCCTTTCAGAAATTAATGGAGAAAAAAGCTGCTGCTACAGGTTTACCAGGTATATAAAAACAGTTACTAATTATATGTGATCTTTCAACACATATTACTGGTAAGTCACCATGAAGAAGATGACACGAAACACTGAAATAGGACTATACGCTACCTTTTTCATAGAATCTGGATCAAATCTGAAAAACAAAATTTTTCCAACCACATTTTGTAGAAATAAAAATGTTTTATTGGATGAACTAAATCTATCATGCCATTCCCTTTGGCCCTCCTCAAATACTTCAGAAAAAGAAAAAGGATTTGCAAGCAAGCCCAGCACCCTTCTGGAGACTCTCTAGTAGAGTCCAGCTCAGGCACTTTCCTCATGCATTGTCTTCATAATATTAGAACAGACACTGATAGATAACGTCCCTTGGAGAGAGTTAGTTTTCACTTAGCAGATTAAAGACTAAAGAGAGAAGTCATTTATTAATGAGGTTTATACTTAATTTTAGGGTGTATATTAAGATTTAATTGTACAGATTTTTGTATCATTTAAACCACTTTTAGTTTCTTCAAATAAATTTAAAATACTGGCAGGGGAAGTCAGACAGGAGAAAATGTGAAAGAACCTTACACAATTTCAACTGAACCTCTTCTTAAATTGCAAATAAAGACAACTTTGAATTAGTCTCCCCACAGAAATCCCAGTGACAACTTATGCTCTCCTGCAGCACCAGGAGTAGGCTGTTAATCCAGAAGCAAAGATCATACCACACACTGCCTCACCATGCAACAGCAGGAACACAGGTGCGGTATGGGGGGAAAAAAGGTGGGAGGGAGGGAGATTTAGAACAGCATGTTCACACCATAAATTTCTATTTAATAGCATATATTTTTTTTCCTTTCACTAAAGCACAAATGTGAACAGCTCCCTTCTTATAACATAGGAATAAATGGAGAAAGCAGTTTACATTGCAGAACCTCCAACAGGATATTAGCACACTTATGAATGTGTAAGTGAGGTAATCTGATCAGTTAACTAACCCTCTTAGTCTGCACAGATAGGAAACTGGAGAAAGAAAAAGCCAAGCTGAAATTTTAAGGTGTAAAAAATAAATAAATAAATAAAAACATTTTAAAAATAATTAAGGTATTTTGGTTCATGCAGTTCTTCTTAAAAACTGCTCTCCTGCATGATATGATAAAGTAGCTATTGTTTTTAACTTAAAAGATTTATTCTGGCACCCAGAAGAAAAAAGAAAAAAAAAAAAGGAAAAGTTCACTGTAGCATAGTTTTCCCCCAACCCCTGCCTCAAAATAGTATATACAGGTATGCATTTCCTTTCCTAAAAGTTACTAGAGGAAAGAATTATTAGTAGCATGTTCACAAAGAGGGGAAGACTCTTTTATAACTTGTTTAGGGCAGCAGAGGGTAGACAGCTGGCACAAGGCACAAGCACACCAAGGGACACTGAAATGAAAACAACAATATCCTGAAAGCCTTCAGGAACAGACCACACACGACACTGTAGCAAGAAGCTGGCCAAACAAATCCATATAACAACACTGTATTTCCTTGGTCACACACTTATCCTCAAATATTAACAACAGCAAAGGAGAGGAAGGAAGAGAAGAGAGTATGTTATCAGCCAAATAAAATAGAAGATAACAAACATACCAAAATTTAATTACTTTTCTAATAAATTACAGTACCATAATAAGCACCATATTTTAAAGGCTGATTTTCATTTTTAGAGTATTATCTTACCTAATTGCCCACCATTCAATCCCATGGTATACACTGCTTCTCTAGTCCATAGCACTGTATGGAATCTGCCTGCAGCCACTCCAACCACTGTTCTACCTTTAAGATTTTTTACCTAAGTATAAAAAAACAAAACCTCTCTCAATTCAAGTCCTAAGTTTGTCCACATACATCAAAGTTACTTTCTTATTTGACAATAACAAAGCTCTTACAACATTAGAAGTTAAGAAAGGGATAGCTTCAAATAACAAGATACTTCTCCATCAATGACAGGGGGGATTTATTTTCTCTAACTGCCAAAACTTAGCAATGGTACCTTAGGCTATAATCACATCTAAAACGTTAAATAGGGTTGGGTGTGGCACAACATGTAGGGGGAAAAAGCATCCAAAGGAAGTTCAAATGCCACAAAACATTAAATGTTCACAGTACTGAAAGCCTCTATTTTAAATACTCAGAAGGAAAGCTAAAAATTCCAGCCATCATAAGCAAAATATGGTATTTACTTGCATACCACACAGACCCTTTTCCCAAAAATTAGCCTTCCAAACAGGGATGCATATCTTTAGGGGTGGGGGAGCAGGGAAAGTGATTTTCTGCCAAGAATAGCAGCACTGGCATTTCTATTCAGGCGACATAGAAGGAGTCAGTTGACCTCATTGCTTATTAGACTCTAATTCTAATTACTAATTGTTCTTCACTCAACAGATGTCAACTACATACTCTCCTGTGTACAGGCAACCCCCGCTTAGTGCTCTTAATTGGCTCCTGAAAAACCAAGCGATAAGCGAAACAAGCGTTAAGCGAAACTGAAAGTATCTGATGACCCAAGATGGCGACCGCAAGCGTTATAATGAAACTTGCTGAGCACTAAGTGAAATCAGGTATTTCAAATGAGCGTTATAGCAAAATAGCACTAAGCGAAATAGCTCTAAAACGGGGTTGCCTGTAATGGTCTTAATAATGGCACCACTCAAGCTATCCTTTCTTTGGCAATTTGGGGAAAGAATTTGTAATTTAACTACTCCTGGCCTCTCTCCGCCTATTTCACAGCCCTGAAGACTATTTTTAGATATTTTCAAAATCGTAGATCTGTCCAGGGAATCCAATCTTCAGCAGCAGCTACACATTTCAGTTTTTTGGCTCAGCTGATGACAATTCAGCTATGAAATGGTTAAAACTGTATTTTTTGCTTGACCCGGAAGGGAAGGGGAAGGAAACTGAAGATTAGGCTCTATCCTCATTATATGTGGCTATAACGCTGGAATAATCTTTTTTCTTCATTCTGTCTTGCCCAAAACAAGGTGTGTGGGGTATGTAAAAATATACAAAAATACTAAGTCATTATTATTCGTAGTCATTAAAGATCCTAAGGTAAATGCTACAAATGCATAGAAGATGCACCATACCTTGAGGCACTTCTGTCTCCCAAAATTCTCTTTTCAGTTTTGTAAGACCCGCTATTCACTCTGGGTCATTAACTGCTGCATATTGTAGCACTGTTGAGTGCTTTCCATGGTGTTTCACACCTAAGGAAGCTTCCCTGAAGCAGTATGTAAAGTAGTATGCATGTACTGCTTTAAAGATGCTTTGATATCTCAGAAGAAAATTACCTCCTCTGACAAACTTGTTTGCTTGAAACCACTACTCACTTTGTGCAACCATCAGGAAGTGTCATTCACTGTGAAAAATTACCTAGCGCTCATTGTTCTTCTTCTTGCCTCTTAATATTTTTTTCAAAGCATTACCCATTTCTGATATTAAAATTAGGGCTGTCAAACGATTAAAAAAATGAATCGCAATTAATAACGAGATTTAAAAAATATATAATTGCGATTAATCGCAATTTTAATTGCGCAGTTAAACAATAATAGAATCCCCATTTATTCTATTAGATAATTCTATTATTTATTTATAATTGCCAGTGCCTTGCACTCCTGACCCGCAGCCCCCTGGTATTGCCAGTGCCCCGCGCTCCTGACCCTGCCCAACCCCTGCAAGCATAGGCACCAGCCCCTGTACCATCAGTCTGGCCACAGAGCTCCTTGCTGCCATCAAAGAGTCCACCCTATTCCCCTACTGTAGGGGAAGGTGCCTCACCCAGCCTTGCCGCAGCCTCAGCACCTGGATAGTTTCCCCCAGGCACCAGCAGTCACCTGCCCCCCCACATGCATGTACACATACCCTACATAGTCCCCAAGACCTGGCCTTCCAACCCCTGCCCCCCATACACTTACCTGAATCCAGGTGCCAAGTCTGCTCCCAGGACCCAGCCTGGCTGCTTGCTGGACACATGTGTGGGCCAACAGCAGAGAGGGGGGAAAGGGTTGCTTTTCCCCCAGCACGCAGGGCCAGGCACACAGCAAAGGGGAGGAGGCACTTTTCCCCCAGCACCAGCAGTGATTAATGCAAAAATAAATTAACACATTAATCGTACCCGTTAATGGCTATTCATTGACATCCCCAATTAAAATAGTTTCTAGGAACAGGATACCGCAAAGCAGAGGGATGCAATCCTAACATTTTAATTTGACCTCACAAATAAATTACATTATCCCTAAAATGTTGAGAGCCTTCAGTGAGAAAAAGACTAACAGTTATTTTTACCTGTCTAGGAACACTGCAGTTAGGAGGAGGAGGAAGAATGCCTAATTGGTGGAAAGTATTTAGGCCAAAGGTATAAACATATCCATCTTCTGTTAAAACAACAGTATGGTCCTTAGCTGCTGCTACCTGGGAACACTGATGGCCAGTTAGACCTTCTACCAATCTAGGAACCTATAAAAGATTGACCGAGTGTTAAAAATAAAGCCAATTATTTATAAGCCAAGTTAAAACAAACAAGCAAACAAAAAAAGAAAAAAGAATTCACAGAAAATCCTCACAAGAAAAAGAAATCCAAATTAACTGTTTAAGAAATTATGGAAATATGGTAGTTACTAGGGGTGCACTAATGGAGAGTTTGAGCCAATACCAATTGCCAATTTGTAAGGAGCCATATCAGCTGATAATAATCTGATTGCCAATATGCAGCTGGGCTGATACATCTGTTGTGGGGGAAGGGAAAGGGAAGGGGAACCGGGGGGATGGGGGCAGATCAAGGACCACGCAGTGAGGGAGCGCGGCTGGAGCAGGCACTACACAGCCAGGGTGGGACACGGGACAGAGCTGTGAGCAGCTCATCCGGGGGAGGGGCAGCTCCCGCCACTGCAGATACCCTAGGAAGGTATGGGGGCATGTGCACCCGGATTTGCTCACGTGGTGAGAGCAGGGCTAGACTCTTTCTGGTGGGGGCTGGGCCAGGCTGCACTGGAGGTGGGTGGTGCTGGGAGGGGGGCTATGAGGGGGCTTCAGCCACCCCAAAATTTGCCATAGCCCACAAGCCCCACTCCTATTGCTGCCACCACCCACCCTGAGCACAACCTAGCCTCCCACTCCCCCCAGGAAGAGCCCAGCACAGCCCTGGCAACAGCAGTCTGCCCTCAACCCATGCACACATCCAAGGGTCACACTCCTACTCCATGCTCTCCTGGGGTGCATGCAGCATAGAATCAATGAGTTGGAAGGGACCTAGACAGATCATCTAGTCTGACCCCCGGCCATGGGCAGGAAGGAGCACTAGGGGTAGGAGGGGTCATAAGACCCCAGCCAGATGCATATCCAGTCTCCTCTTGAAGATTTCCAGGGAAGGTGAGAGCACCACCTCTCTGGGAAGCCTATTCCAGGCTCTGGCCACCCTTACAGTGAAGTAGTTCTTCCTAATATCTAACCTAAACCTATCCTCCCTCAGCTTGTGGCCATTGTTCCTGGTGACTCCAAGGGGGG